GTTATTCAAATTTATGCACCAACCACTAATGCCAAAGACGAGAAAATTGAAGATTTTTACCAACTTCTGTAGTCTGAGATTGATCAAACATGCAATCGAGATGCATTGATAATTACTGGTAATTGGAATGTGAAAGCTGGAAACAAAGAATGATTGGTAGTTTGAAAATATGGGCCTAGGTGTTAGAGATGATGCCAGAGATCACATGATAGAATTTTGCAAGACCAGCGATTTCTTCATTACAAATACCTTTTTTCAAAAACATGAATGACAACTATACATATAGACCTCGCCAAATGGAATATACAGGAATCAAATCAACTACATTTGTGGAAAGAGGTGATGGAGAAGCTCAATATTATCTGTCAGAACAAGGGGCTGACTGAGGAAAAGACCATCAACTGCTTGTATGCAAGTTCAAGTTGAAGCTAAAGAAAATTAGAGCAAGTCCATAAGAGCCAAAGTATGATCTTAAGTGTATCCCACCTGGATTTGGAGACCATCTGAAAAACAGATTTGACACATTGAATACTAATGACCAAAGATCAGACAAGTTGTGGAATGATATGAAGGACATCATACATGAAGAAAGCAAGAGATCATTAAAAATGACAGGAAAGAAAGAAAAGACCAAAATGGATGTCAGAAGAGACTCTGAAACTTGCTCCTGAATGTCAAGTAGCTAAAGGGAACAGAAGAAATTATGAAGTAAAAGAGCTGAACAGAAGATTTCAAAGGGCGAGTCCAGAAGGCAAAGTAAAGTATTATAATGATATGTGCAAAGACCTGGAGTTTAAAAACCAGAAGGGAAGAACACATTCAGCATTTCTTAAGCTGAAAGAACTGAAGAAAAAATTCAAGCCTTGAGCTGCAATATTGAAGGATTCTACAAGGAAAATATTGAATGATGCAGGAAGCATCAAAAGAAGATGGAAGGTGTCATGGATTGAATTGTGTCCCCAAAAAATATCTGTCAACTTGGCTAGGCCATGTTTCCAAATATTGTGTAATTGTCCATCATTTTGTCATCTGATATGATTTTTCTGTGTTGTAAATCCTATCAGTATGATGTTAATGAGGTGGGATTAGTGGCAGTTATGTTAATGGGGCCTTCATACCACCAAGAAAGTATTGCCAGGAGAAGAGTGTATCCTTTGGAGTAAAAAAAATCCCAGTGCTGAGAAACTCCTAGACCGGGGGAAGATTGATGACAAGGACCTTCCTCCAGAGCTGACAGAGAGAGAAAGCCTTCTCCTGAAGCTGGAGCCCTGAATTCGGACTTCTAGCCTCCTAGACTGTGAGAGAATAAATTTCTGTTTGTTAAAGCCATCCACTTGTGGTATTTCTGTTATAGCAGCACTAGATGACTAAGACAGAAGGAATACAAAGAGTCACTGTACCAAAAAGAATTGGTTGACATTCAACCATTTTAGAAGGTAGCATATGGTCAAGACCTGATGGTACTGAAGGAAGTCCAAGCTGCACTAAAGGCATTGGTGAAAAACAAGGCTCCAGGAAATGATGGAATACCAATTGAGATGTTTCAGCAAATGCTGATGCAGTGCTGGAGGTGCTCACTTGTCTAAGCCAAGAAATTTGGAAGACAACTACCTGGCCAACCAACTGGAAGAGATCCGTATTTGTGCCCATTCCAAAGAAAGGTGATCCAACAGAATGTGGAAATTCTTGAATAATATCATTAAATCACATGCAAGTAAAATTTTGCTGAAGATCATTCAAAAACAGTTGCAACAGTATATCAACAGGGAACTGCCAGAAGTTCAAGCCGGATTAGGAAGAAGATGTGAAACAAGGGATATTATTGCTGATTTCAGATGGAGCTTGGCTGAAAGCAGAGAATACCAAGAAAATGTTTACCTGTATTTTATTGACTATGCAAAGGCATTCGACTGTGTGGATCATAACAAATTATAGATAAGATTGCAAAGAATGGGAATTCCAGAACACTTAATTGTGCTCATGAAGAATCTGTACATAGACCAAGAGGCAATCGTTCAAACAGCACAAGGGGATACTGCATGGTTTAAAGTCAGAAAAGGTGTGTATCAGGGTTGTATCCTTTCACCATACTTACTCAGTCTATATGCTAAGCAAATAATCCGTGAAGCTAGACTATATGAAGAAGAATGTGGCATCAGGACTTGAGGAAGACTTATTAATAACCTGTGATATGCAGATGACACAACCTTGCTTGCTCAAAGTGAAGAGAACTTGAAGCACTTACTGAGGAAGATCAAAAACTACAGCCTTCATTATGGATTACACCTCAAAATAAAGAAAACAAAAATCCTCCCAACTGGACCAATAAGCAACATCATGATAAACAGAAAATATTGAAGTTATCAAGAATTTCATTTTCCTTGGATCCACAATCAACGCCCGTGGAAGCAAAAGTCAGGAAATCAAACAATGTACTACATTGGACAAATCTGTTGCAGAAGACCTCTTTAAAGCGTTAAAAAGCAAAGAGGTCACTTTGAGAACTAAGATGCACCTAAACCAAGCCATGGTATTTTTCATTGCTTCGTATGTGTGAGGAAGGTGGACAATTAATAAGGAAGACTGAAGAAGAATTGATCGCTTTTGAATTATGGTATTGGCAAAGATTATTGAATATACCATGGACTGCCAGAAGAATGAACAAATCTATCTTGGAAGAAGTACAGCCAGAGTGCTCCTTAGAAGCAAGGATGGTGAAATTTTGTCTCAACTACTTTGGACATGCTATCAGGAGGAACCAGTCCTTGGAAAAGGACTTCATACTTGGTAAATAAGAGGGTCATCAAAAAAGAGGAAGACCTGTAACAAGATGGATTGACGCAGCGGCTGCAACAATGGGCTCAAGAATAACAAGGATTGTGAGAATGGCACAAGACTAGGCTGTGTTTCGTTCTGTTGTACAAGGGGTCACTATGAGTTAGAATTTACTTAACAGCGCCTAACAGCAACAAAGCCTTCTGGTCAGAACTTCAGAACTTTGTTTTCCTCCCATAGCTAAAGTGTGCAGGACATTTTTAAATCCCCCCAGAATTTTGACACTTTAGGTTTATGTCAGGCCATTCAACCATAAATTGCCATTGACCCACCACTTGCTGTAACTTGCTTGAGGCATGATATTTGAGAGCTGTAGTCCACAGATCAAGTTAAATATAAATATTCCTTGTTTCTGTAAGCTTTACCCTTGTATGATTAGCTCATCAAAAGCCGACACACTTGGACTATGTTGTCTTAGTTCACTGAAGAAATGCATGAGTCAAGATTTAACATTATGCCCTTGTTTTTTATAGAAGACAACTGTGAGAAATGTACATATGTGATATTTCTGTACTTTGGCTCAGTGTCTTTTTTGAGAGGATCCGTATGATAAATTTCATTTTAGAGTTCGGTGCCCATAAGCCATAAAATAGTTGTCTCTTCATATGAAGTTCTCTGTTTCCTTTTTATCAGACCATGAGAAAAGATGCAACTCAACATGATACTTCTTTACTTTTGCTACCAGGGAGTTCAGCATAAAATTCAGAGCTCAGGGAGGGAACTAGTTATTATTATTTCTCTGTTCCTTTCTTATTTAATTTTTTAAATATATGTATCAGGTCGCTATGAGTTGGAGTCGATTCAATGACAGTGGGTTTGATTTTTGGTTTATATATATATGGAGCCCTGGTGGTGCAGTGGTTAAAGCACTTGACTGCTAACCAAAAGGTCAGTGACTTGAAACCACCAGTGGCTCCATGGGAGAAAGATGTGGCAGTCTGCTTCCGTAGAGATTTATAGCCTTGGAAACCCTATGGGGTCACTGTGAGTTGGAATCAATTCGATGACAGTGGGTTTGGTTTGCTTTTATACACACACACACCACACACACACATACATACATACACACATATGTATACACACACATACATACATACATACACACACATATGTATACGCACACACACACACGTATACACACACACACGTATATGTTGTTGTTGTTAGTGTTGAGTCAATTCCAACTCATAGCAACCCTATAAGAAAGAGTAGAACTGTCCCATAGGGTTTCCTAGGCTGTAACCTTTATGGGAGCAGATTGCCAGGTCTTTTTTCTCAAAGAGCTGCTGGTGAGTTCGAACTGATGACGTTTCGGTTTGCAGCTGCGTGCTTAACCATTGTGCCACCAGGGCAATATATATATATATATATATATATGGGTGTACTTTATATGTTTTAGTTATCTAGTGCTGCTATAACAGAAATACCACAAGTAGGTGACTTCAATGAAAAAAAATTTATTTTCACAGTTTAGGAGGCTAAAAGTCTGAATTCAGGATGCCGGTTTTAGGGGAAGGTTCTCTTTCTGCTCTGGGGAAAGGTCCTTGTCTTTTTTCAGCTTCTGTTCCTTGGCTCCTTGGCGATCTTCATGTGGCATGGCATCTATCTTCCCCGTCTCTTCTTACTTCTCTGTGCCTAATCTGCTCTTTTTATATCTCAAAGGTGATTGGCTTAAAACACACCCTACACTAATATGGCCTCTTAACATAACAAAGAAAACCCATTCCCAAATGGGATTATAACCACAGGTATAGGGTTAGGATTTACAACACATATTTTTGGGGGACACAATCCAATCCATAACTATATACATATATATATATATATATCCATCCTTATCTGTGTCATTCCCAGCTTTTATGTCTTAGAGTACAGGAAAGGGTCATACTTAAATCCAGATTGGTGTGATAAATTATATTACAATGGGGTCTGCTGTACTTTCCTTTTACCTTATGCATATCATTAGACTTGAAAGCAGTTTTAGTTTTTTACCTTTGGTTGACTCCAATCCTTTGACCATCCCTCCACTTCCACCTTACTCCTACTGACTCGCTTGAGCAAATACTTCCCAACTGCACTTTCTAAAGGTAGTCCAGCGAACTTTCCCCATCTCCTGTTGTAACTTCTTTCTGTCTGAATTGAGCAACTCACTCTTTTCCTCACAGCTCCATTTGGCCTGGATCTATGGAGAGTCCTGAGACCAGCTGAGGTGGATGGAAGAAGGCCAGTGAAATTGTTGTGGAAGGTGACCTTCTTTTGCGTTTTATTTATTTATTCATTCGTTTAATTTAAAATCCCTTGATCTCTTACACTTTTAAGAACTTAAGCGTTCACCTCTTGAATTTCCTTTCTTTCAGTACTTTATAATGCCCCAAGTCTTACAAAGTTTGCCCAACCTAAAATAGCCACACAGGGCATCTTGCAGATGCCCCAACTTTGCATTACAGACCCTGGCCTACCTCTTCCTTTGGTCTGGAACATTAACAGTTAGGGTAGGGACAAAGTGCAAGTGCAGGAGGAACCTGAACTTCCTTGAGAAAACCTGGCTGGCCTCCACTAAAAGGCAATGTAAAATTCTGTGGCCCCTACCCCTAAGTCTGAGAAGAGCGCTGTTGGGATGTCCTCAAGGTCAATGCCTGCTGAGCAGAAGCACAGAAACAGATACTGCAAAGGCAGAAGAAGAGCTCAAGGGTCCTTTCTAAGTGGAGGCCTGGGAATGAAGAGCAAAGGAGAAGGTTGGTGGGTCATTCATTGAGAAGAAGGGAGGGGTAGGAGATAAGAGAAAATCAGAAAAATGACAGATAAAAGGAACAGGTAATAAACAGGCAAAGAAAAGGGCAAACACAGGAGAAAAAAAAGCAAAACTGGAAGCAGAAGATGAGAAGTTGAAGAAAGAGGAGAGAAGAGTGAGATCCCAAAACTCCTTAGTATATGTCTCCAAATTTCTCAAGAAATATTATCTCATACTTGTTAAAGTCCAGGCAGATTTAAAATCCGTTTGACAATGGAAAAATTGCCCCACTTTGCCAAATTGCTTTCCAATCCCAGTTACTTCAGGGTTGGAGCATCCCCCTACCTTTGTGGTGATTACTGTGTGTAATCAGTAACAGCAAGTTGAACAACTGGGCAGCTCTGTAATTCCAGAGAAATACTCCACATGCTGACTCCAAGGTAAAACATCTAGTTAGTGGGTTCAGGTTCAAGGCTGAAAACAAGAGTTTGTCTTGAAGCCCCTGGGGCCACCTTTGTCTTCTCAAGGGCTTGGGAGTAGTATCACCCTGAATGTTTTAGTCCTTTTAGCTAGATTGCCTGGTGTGCCTGGTTCGGGGGTAAGCAAAATGGCTTGCTTTCTTTTTTTTTTAATATTTTATTGTACTTCAGGTCAAGGCTTACAGAACAAATAGTTTCTCATGAAACAGTAGTACACATGTTGTTTTATGACATTGGTTAACAACCCCACAACATATTAACCCTCTAACTTCTCAACCTTTTTTTTTTTTTGGTGAAAATACACATAGCCAAAGATACACCATTTCAAAAATTTCTACATACACAGTTCAGTGACATTGACTACGCTCTTCCAATTGTGCTGTTATTCTCACTTAAGATGAAGGCTTACAGAACAAAATAGTTTCTCATTTAACAGTTACTACAAATGTTGCCCTGTGACAATGGTTAACAGTCTCACAACACATCAACAATATCCTTACTCAACCTTGGGTTCCCTATCACCAGCTTCCTTGTCCCCTTCTGCCTCTGGCCCTTGTCACTGGACTGCTGTACCTCGTTAGTCTCATTTGGTTTTACGGGGCTGTCCACTCCCAGGCTGAACAGTGAACCTCGGAGATAACTTCACCACTGAGCTAAAAGGGTGTCTGGGGGCCATACTCTCGAGGTTTCTCCAGTCTCCTTTAGGCCAGTAAATCTGGTCTTTTTTTGTGAGTTATAATTATGCTCTACATCCTTCTCTAGCTCTGTCCAGAACCCTCTGTTGTGATCCTGGTCAGAGCAGTCAATGGTAGTAGCCGGGCACCATCTAGCTGTACTGGACTCAGTCCAGTGGAGGGCTTGGTAGCTGTGAACAGTTAGTCCTTCGGACTAATCTTTTCCTTGTATCCTGTTCTCTTCATTCTCCCTTGCTCCCGAAGGGATGAGACCAGTGGAGTATCTTAGATGGCCGCTCACAGGTTTTTAAGACCCCAGACACTACTCACCAAGGTAGAATGTAGAGCATTGTCTTTACAGGCTGTGTCATGCCAATTGAGCTAGATGTTCCCCGAGACCATGGTCCCCACAGCCCTCCGCCCAGCACTTCAGTCCCTCAGGGAGTTTGGATGTGTCTATGGGGCTTCCATGACCTTTCATTGTACAGGTTGTGCTAGTTTCCCCTGTATTGTGTACTGTCTCACCCTTCACCCAAGATACCACTTATCTATTGCAAAATGGCTTTCTTGATCCATATAGGAGATCCTGGGCTTCAGCTTAGAGTGAGAGGTATGGAGATTAAAGGCAAGGACATAGATACTCTCCAACTCTTGTATGTTTGTGGGTGAGAACTGACCCGGGGCCAGACCAGATTTGGGACTGGTTTAGAGGGAATGCCTTAGTTTTTAGTTTATACCCCTCTCCTCATGTAGGATGGAGAGAGAGGCACAGACAGAGGAAAATGGGGGTGACTTGCTTAGTTTAGCTTGGACATTTCCCTAGTTTGGCCTCATTTAATTAGACTTACGTTAGGGGTTGATACCAAGGTATCATTTGATAAATCCCTTTTTCTGGCACTTAAGAGATTTAATAGTGCTAGGCACAGAGTATGTTACTCATCCCTGGAGGCTAATTTCCTGATTGTTGTTTAACTCCAGTAGTTAGTATCACTCCCCAACCCCAATCAATACCACCATTTATCTCTGTCTCAATGTTTTTCTTTTGCTGATGGCAATGAACTTTTCCTTTCGGTTCAGGAGGCAAGAGGAGCACCAGTCTTGGGGAAGACACTTGGCTATAACATATGGTACTTTCCAGAAAACAGCACTAACCTCACAGAGACAATGAACACAACTAATCAGCAACTTCAACTGTATCTGGGAGGCGAGACCTATTGGGTGTCTGTAATTTCTTACAATTCTGTTGGGAAGTCTCCAGAGGCTACCCTGAGGGTTCCTCCTATTCATGAAAAATGTAAGTAGAACGTGAACTTCTTAGTTAGATGCATGGCATCATCCAATCAGGGAAGGAGCAGTCCTTGTTGCCTCATGAGTATCTGTTTCTCTTGGGTCGAAATGGAAATGGAATGGAGACTTATATTTTTTTGGGGGGGGGGGCGGGGAGAACAGAATTACCAATGTTGGTAATTAATGAGCCCCTTGAAATAAAGTTCTTTTGGAACGAAGACTGTGTTAGCAGTCAGAAACTTCATAAATCACACAATACAAAGTCATAAGCTTAGAAGTTCTATGTGCAGCTTTTATTTGTAATGGTCTTACTGAATGTAAACTGAGGTTGAAGAGTATAAAAAACTGTGAGATCTGTCAAATTTGTTAAATTTGTCCTCAGTGGCTGTAGCCTCTCTTTTGAAATCTTCCTTTCTGGATGGTGATTGACCACATTCCCAGCCTTGGCTTAATGCTCATATTCCTGTTTTCTTCCCCATTTCTCCTTCTATCCACCTACCAAGTTAGGAAAAACTCTGATGTTTGTATTTGCCAATAAATTGTCTCATTACACTGTTGACTAAGTAGCTTTTAACATTTTACTGTTCCTAGAAAAACTCATATTTTATATCCTGTTTTGGAATAAAATACCTTCGATTCTTATTCAAGGAATTCTAGGCAATGGGTATCCTCCCCCTGCTTTATTTTTCTCTATAAAACTTATTACTGGCCTTCATTCTATAGATTTTCTCATTTATCTTGCCTTCAATATGATGTAAGTTCTTTGAGGGCAGGGATTTTTGTCTATTTAGTTTATTTAATTTCCAGTGCCTAGAACAGGCATAGAGCAGGTGGCATAAAGCAGGCACTCAGTAACTATTTGTCATAACCAACCATAGTTTGGGAATGCACTCTCCAATCAACAACCTCTCTCTATTTGCTTACACCTGGACTTTTTCAGACATTTACCCTACCAGCTCCCTTCTTTCTTTTCTTCCTAAACTTAACCCATATCTTCCCTTTCCTCACTTTAGAATTCCTGGATATTTTGTGTTTTTAGCTCCACTCGATATTATTTTAATAACCAGTTGCCACCAGTTGCCATCGAAGAAAAAAGGAAGATGAGCATCAAATTGATTCAAATTCATGGTGACCCCATGTGTGTCAGAGTAGAACTGTGTTCAGTTGTTTTCAATGACTGGTTTTTTGGAAGTAGATTGCCAGGCCAGTCTTCTGAGGTGCCTCTGGTGGACTCGAACCTCCAACCTCTCAGTTAGCAGTAAGTGTGTTAACCATTTGCACCACCCAGGGACTCCTGGTATTATTTTAGGTAGTATTTAATAGTATCCCTCACAATACCTAGTTCCTGACAACCTAGTTCCTACCCATCCAATACTCCTAGTGATGAAGTTTCTTACAAATGATTGTGTCATTGAAATGCACATTCTTAATAAGAGGTGCTGCTAATTTGTAGTCTCAGTTTCCTGGCGTGGCCCAGGGATGGGAGACAGTAAAGAGTAGGTTATAAAAGCATGGGCTTTGGAGTCCAACAGCCCTGGGTTCAAATATTTGCTCTACCACTAGATACCAGAGCCCTGGTGGTGCAGTGGTTAAGAGCTTGACTGCTAACCCAAAGGTCAGCAGTTTGAATCCACCAGCCGCTCCTTGGAAACCCTATGGGGCAGTTCTACTCTGTCATATAGGGTCGCTATGAGTCAGTATCGACGACCCAATGGCAACGGGTCCACTAGATACCATGTAGCCTTGAGCAAGTTACCTAACTTTTCTAAGCCTTAGCTACTTGTCAAGTTTGGGTATTACATAGTAGTACCTACCTTATAGAGTTGTTGTGAGGGTTAAATGAGATTGTGCGTGAAAAACGTTTTCTCTAGTGCTAATTATTATTATCTTCATTCTTAATAAAAATTCTAAGTAATTAAATTTCTATTGCATGTGGATTAACAATTTTAAGACTACTCTGAAATATACTTTAAACTTTATGCTAAATTCATTTAGTATTTTTTCCCCAGTTGTAAAGGTACTTGCTTTGTGTCAGAAATATCAGTATGATCATCAGTGATAATTGCCCTAGGCCAGAGTCAGCAAACAATGGCCTATGGGCCAAATTCGGCCTGGCATTTGCTTTTGTAAATAAAATTTTATTGAAACACAGCCACTCCTGTTTATGTCAGTGATTCTTTTTGCACGACAGTAGGAGAGTTGAATAGTTGTGCCTGACACCATCTGTCCTACAAAGCCTGAAATATTTACTATCCGGCCCTTTACAGAAAATGTTTACAGACCCCTGTTCTAGACATATAAGAAAGTTAATACTCTATGGAATTTTGTTTAATAAAATACAGTCAACTGGAGAATAGCTATAATAGTTGTTGCAAGTATAACTATCATATATTGGTCATTAGTATGCGTCAGACATTGTGCTAAGATAATACAGCTTTACCCTCAGAATGATCCTATGAGGTACATGCTGTCAGATCCATTTTATAGATTATGAAGCTGAGATTCAGGAAAGCTTAGTAATTTGCTCAAAGTCTCTCAGGTGGGATTCAAGCCCAGGTCTGCATGATTCCAAACGTGTACAATATACTTTATCCAGAATTTTGGACTTTGTATTATCAAAGTGACTTAGAGTTCCGGTTGTAGATATTGTGTGACACTGAGCTGGCTTTTTACCCCTGTGGGCCTCCATTTTCCTATCTGTAAAGTGAGGGATTGGAAGAGATAATCCTTTAGGTTCCTTCTGACCTGAATATCCTCTGAGTTCTACAAGACCTTAGCCAGCAGACAGTGGTCTGAGACAGGCCTAGAACAGCACAGCCACTGAGCAGGAGGTTGGGACTGAGTTGGGGTAGAAATCAGGTTAGTCTAGGAGAGCTGGCAAAGGTGAGCCACCACCAGTATCTGCAAACCGTGTGTGATAGACCCCGAGTGGACTGCCTTCATGCAAATCAAAAGAAATAACTGATGTTCACACTCAAAGCTGCTTTCACTTCTCCCAGGAAGATCTTCTACCATCTGTATTTCCTACTGCACCTGGGAGGTATTGTATTTGGGGTAACTGCTAAAAAAAGTTCTTGTTGAATGATGGAAGGATTCAGCAATTAGTTTATATTCAGTAGAATGATAATTTGGAAACTTGTCTCTCAGCACCCTTAACGTTGTCCAGCCCTTTAAGGTTAATCCATGGCTTCATTGAACCTTTTCCATATCCCTGTGGACCAGAGCCTGGGCTTGTTTCCCTCAGCCCCTGGAGTGTGTTTGGCCCTTTGAATCCAACTTCTCCTATTCCCCAGAATTGCAATACAGGTAAAAAGAAGGAGTATGGAGTTAGGAACTGACACTCCAGTCTTCAGGTCAGAATTTGTGTGCTAGTGATTTACTAAGAAAGCACCTCCATGGTGATTTGGAAAGGAAGTGAGGGAAGTGATCAGGGAAGGAGAGGAACCTGAGCCAAAAGTGTGATTTGAGATAAAATTCCTGCAGAGGGTAGTTTCTGCCTGAGCCTGCAGGGGGAATGGGAAGTTTAAGTTACATCTCAAAGTTATGCCAACTCAAGCAAAACACACAAAAACAGTAAGAAGGACTCTGACAGAACCTAGGTGGAGCAGCAATGTTGTCTTCTGTAAGAGGCTAGGTGGTTCCGAGGGCTCCAGCAATGACATTCACTGGGACTGGAACTGCAGCTGAGAACCCATAGAGGCTGTGAGCAGGGGCAGGCAAGAGAGGGAAGTAGGAGCCCTAAGGGTTCGGTGAGTTTCATTTCCTGGCTCTATGCTTCTTGCCTGGCATCTGCTCCTACTCAGCTTCACATTTTCTTCATGCCTCAGTTGCCCTTCCTCAGAGCACTTTTTCAGGTTGACAAATCACCTTGCCTTTCTTCTAGAACTAGCAGCAGGAGTGTCTCATGAAAGCTCAGTTTGGGAAATGGATCTATAAATAGTGACTTACAAGAACAGAGACTTGTAAACATACATGCAGCCTGCTAGGACTTGTTGCTTAGGAAGAGCAAGACTCACCACCCCCAACCCCTACCCTAAACTCATACACTTGGCCCAGGATTCCAGCTTCAGAAAGCTTTTTGGTTTATTTGAGAGGTAGATCTCTTCTGTAGTTCCTTGATGATGCAAATGGTTAAGCATTCAGCTACTAACGGAAAAGTTGGTGGTTTGAATACACCGAGAGGTGCCTCAGAAGAAAGGCCTGGTGATCTACTTCGGAAAGATCACAGCCATTAAAACCCTGTGGAGCACAGCTCTACTGTGGAGCTGGAATTGACTCAATGGCAACTAGTTGACTGGTTGGGTGGTCTACTCTTCTGCCCCCATCTAGGACTGTCTTTGATACTCATTTAAACATACTTCATGTCATTTCCAATTTTGAAGGCTAACTGTGTTGTGGGTGGGGAGCAGTGGATAGGAGGAGAAATGCACACTGATATCCTGAACCCCACCCACCTCATGTGCTCCGTTTCTGCCCCGCTGTACTTCAGTGATAGCCCCATTGTCTAAATTGTTCTGTCTTCTGGGTAGTCAGAACATGTTATATAATCTATCTCTCTGATCCTAATTAAATCCCAGATTCAATTTGAAGCCACTTGCTCAACTTTTCTGTTAAAGGAATCCTTGGGGTCTGTTTCCAGAGATGAGTTTTCTGCCAGGCCTGCAGAAAATGTTAAGATTTACATATGTGTCCAAATCTAAGTCCTTTGTATGGGTGTTTTTCCGTCTTTCTGATGCAAACAGTATTCTACTGGCTTGAGGATAGAAATCCATATCCAGTTCGTGTAGGACCAGCCTGGACCACAGAGGTTTGAAGCCATCTCCCTGGTATGATTTTAGGGCCACAATCTTCCAGATCTCCAGCCAAGAGGTTACTAGTGCTTGAAATTCTTTTGTTAGAGGTTTGGTTTCCTTTTCAGTTGCAGAGGCTCCTGCGGAAGGTGAGTCTTTTTAGTCATCAACTGTCTAGTGAGATCCTTTTCTGGGAACAGGTAACTAACTTTTTGGTAGGTTAAGAAGGCACTTAATCATCGGAGGTGAGGGGTAAGGAAAAGGGATACAATAAAGGAGATGAAAATAGCACAATAAGGGGAGGCTACAGTGGAAAAAGGTTCTTTGATGGTGCAAACAGTTTGGTTGGCTACTAACCAAAAGATTGGTGGTTCAAATCCACCCAGATGTGCCACGGAAGAAAGGCCTGGTGATCTACTTCTGTGAGATTATAACCATTGAAAACTTTGTGGAATGCAGTTCTACTCCGAAACATGTGGGGTTACCATAAGTCAGGATCAACTCTACAGCAATGGGCAGTGGAGAAGTTGAACTGTGACCTTCTTTGCAATTTTGTGTAACGAATCGGTACCAATGTGGTTAGTGCATGTGGGGGATGAGTTGGGTAGATGTGGAGCAATTCTTTTCTTGCCTTTCAGCATTTCGGTGCATTGAGGGCATGCAGGCCCGCCCCACTCAGGACCAGCTGGTGGTGGAGTGGCAAAGCTCTGCTGCAGAGGTGGACACATGGATGGTTGAGTGGTTCCCAGACTTGGACTCAGAGCCTTCCACCTTTGCCTGGGAATCTGTGTCTCAGGCTAGGAACTGGACAGTCCAGCAAGGTAGCCAATGTGTAACCCTCAAGTTCCTTCTGTGCAGGATTCAGTTTCATTTTCATCAGTTTTTAATTTTTAACTTTGGCTTCAAGAAGTGTATGTGGTTAATTGCATTTGATGAGCTAGTGCAACAGTTTAGTGAAGCAACACACTTGTTGGCATTTCCTAGCAAGGCTGGGACAGGAAGCTATAGGCACATTTACTAGTGGCTGAAATTCTAGGGAAGACTGTGGGTGCCTTTTTTTTTTCTTTTTTGGCCTGATGTATAAAGAAATCTGTAAGTCTGTACTGCCTGTACATCTACATTCTGGCAATAGGCCAAGGTGAGGAAAAAGCCTCCATGAGCAAAGCAGAGTTGGGAAGTCTTCAGAGCAATGCCAGTCCCAATTGAGTTTAAGTAAAAGTGAGAGACAAAAAGGAAATCACCTTTTTTACTAACCAACAAACTTCAGACTCTCCAATTAGCCCAGAAAAGGACTCTCTGAGTGGGGAGAGAGCTCAAGAAGAGGCCCCAGGCCTGCCCCCTGAAGAGTCCCCTTTCCCTTCAAATCCTCTCCCTCCAGGTATTGCTGGTCCTCTGAGATTCCCTGTTCCCCTTTATAGTGATGCTCCTACATGGACACAGATTTTTCCCTACAGTTCTTTTAGCTCAGCTGGTTCACGCTGGAATGGTGGCAATCATAACGACATGTATTGAGTGTTGACTTTGTTCAGGACACTAGGCTTACCTCAATTAACTTTCATAACAACCCTTGAAGTCAGGACTAGTATCATCTCCATTTTACAGATGAAGAAGCTGAGGCTTAAAAAGGCTCTCGCTTACCCAAGAACACATAGTTAGGTGGCAGAGGTGGGATACAAACCCAGGTTTGCCTGACTCCAGAATCTGAGCTCCTACCTGCTATGTTCAACACTGGCTTGCATTCCCTCTAATAGACTTTTGAAAAACTATGTATTTACTCACAATTTTTAATTTGACCTGAGAATATTTTAATCTTCAGCTTAAATCATGCAATGGATATAAATATTTTAAATAATACTGTTATAGCACTTTTAAAAATATATCAGATGGAATCTAAATACCATAGAGGTTTGATAGCTGCCATCATTCATTTAAAAAGATACCTTAACAAGTTCTTTAAGAGTCAGAAATTTTTTATCATCCTTTTTGCTCCCTGAACTTGTATTTCCATTCCATTCTCCACAGTATTTTATTACATTTTATTTTGAAAGACTTTTGTTGATGATTTTATTGTATTTCTCGGCAATAAAAATTTGTATATGCATTGAAATCCAACACTTAAAAAATTTTGTGTGATCCTAATCCTGTACTGCTGAAAAGATTTTCTGCTGGACTGTATTTGCATTACAATGATTAATAGCACACAACTGATGAAAACAACATAAATATGTTAGAAATTTGGATAAACCAAACCAAACCCGTTACTGTCAAGTTGATTCCGACTCATAGCAACCCTATGGGACAGAGTAGAACTGAAATTTGGATACAGATTATTAAAGATAAAAGGTAAAATTTTATTGGAAACACATTTCCTAATAAAACAGGAGGAGGTGTTTTTTCCATTAGTTTTTTTAGCGATTGATGATGACGTTTTACTGGTAGGGTTCAGCATCAACTTTATTCCCATTTTTCATTTTTATAAATCTACACATCCAGAAACATTGCTCACATAAGTAAGTAGATAGGGATGGATGGAGCTTTGTTATAGCAGTGTCACCTAGTTCTCTGAACTCTCTCTGAGACAGATGCCAAAAGTTACAAAGTGGTTTTCCTTCCAAAATGATGTTTCATGATCTATCAGCTGACAACTGGATGAGGTCAAGGAGCTTTGTATAGTTATGCTTCATTCCCGGCTTTGCGTTTAGCCGTGTTAATTCACATGAGGTTTCCAAAACCAGCTGGGTGACTGCATGAGAATGTGAACCTTATTTACAGATGTACTTATATTCTTAATTGTCTTCACAAAAATATAGTTTTTAAAGAGTCTGAATATATTGTTAAAAAAAAATGAGATGACAAGCAAGATAGTTTCATCTTTCTTGGCAGTACACTCATGAAACTCTTCTCCAGGAATGATGCCTTAACTGATAATAGTCGAGGAATGAAAGTGGAAAGATCATTAAATAAAAATTTCATCTCTCCTGCCACTTCAGTCTACAATATATCTGGAATTCAGAAATTCCAACATGAGTCAAAATACCGTGTTTCTCATGCTGCTCTCTGCCTCCACTAGAAGAAATACGTCTAAGGCAAGGAAAGCAAAGACAACTGCAGGTTTATCCAAAACCAAACCTGTTGCCATTAAGTCTAACCTGACTCACAACGACCTTACAGGACAGAATAGTAGAACTGCCCCATAGGGTTTCCAAGGCTGTAGTCTTTACGGAGGCAGACTGCCACATCTTTCTCCCACAGAGGAGCTGGTGAGTTCAAACCACCAACCTTTCAATTAGCAGCCAAGCTCTTAACCACTGCACCACCAGGGCTCCTTGCAGGTTTATAGCGCCTTGATTAAGGGAGGCTTTCTGACACCAACACTTCCAGTTGCTCTGGGGAAATACATTGTAGTCAAATTAGGGATGGGTGAGAGGAGTGGCTTTCTTTTGTAAAGTGGAGGGAGATGGGTGAGGAGAACTGGCATAAATGCCTCTACCACAGGCAAGTTCTCAAGAATACGAATGAAAGCTGATCCAGGCAAGCCCAGGTACCCTTGAAAAGTCTTTGAGTATGTCCAGCAGTATGTGTAGCCCAGCTTAAATACCACTGCCATATTGTGTCCCAGTGGGGAGGGAGATGAATAGGAAAATGAAAATAGAAATACAAAAAGTATCCTTTCTAAATCACAGATTTCTGATCCCACTATAGCTGACTGGTCTTCTCTCATCTTTCATGAAAATTTTGTGACATCTCCCGTCCTACTCCAAGGACTCAGTATAATTTTATAGGCTCCATGACTGAATTCCTTACTTCCATGATCCCAGCCTGTTTCCAGGTGGAAAGCACTATTTTAACACCTGCCATCATCAGAGAGCCCTTCCCAGATATCTTGCTCATCCTGTGTATAGAATTAGAGCTTGGATCCTGTCTATCCTCTGTCTATAACATTCCTTTCTGTTCTGGTTGCCGTTTAAGAGTTAGGCCCCTCCCCCAAGTGCATGATGCAAGGAAGGAATGGCCTTCTTTACAAAAACTCCCCTGCCTCATGTAGACACAAGTGAGGCTTTACCCTTTCAATCCTATCAGTCCAATCACTTCTTAATACTTAACAGCATCTATGTTAATAAGTGTACTCATGCAGGGGTGCAGGAAGACAGAGGAGCTAGAAATTAGGCTGAATTCTCTAGGGTGGTGTGCTATTGACAGCAGGATTAAGCTTTATTCTGCAGCACCCCCAGATCATATGACAACATCAGTAACAGAGAAGGGCCTGGATATCTTATTTCTTCCTTCCTGGATGGCTCTGTCATTCCATCAGGGAGGTACAAGGTTTAGTTTTAAGAATCAATTAGAAAGTCTTAGAATTAAACTGGAATTGATATTTTTCTTTGTGATGCTATTGTAAATGGAATTGTCATCATTTCATTTTCAGATTATATAGAAGTACAACTGATTTTTTGTGTGCTGATCTTGTATACTGCAATTTTGCTGAATTCATTTATTAGTTCTAATAGTTTGTGTGTGTGTGTGTGTGGATTCTTTGGGATTTTCTATATATGGAATAGACATTAGAGACCATCCAACCTAACCCCCTTATTTTGCAGATTTGGAAACTATAGAGAAATAGAATATCTTGCTTAAGAGCCATAACTCTCAGTAGAGAGTTCCTTCCGCTATGCCATGCTTGGCACTTACGCCTTTTTTTTCTTTCCTTTTTTACAGATAAATTAAAACCTTACTTGTGCTATAACATCTCTGTGTATCCAATTCTTCAAGACCGAGTGGGTGAGCCTTATTCCATTCAGGCTTATGTCAAAGAAGGAGGTATGTGTTGTATGTGTGGACAGGGACCTAGGGGAAAGGGAAACCCTGGGGCTTGCCCAGCATTCAGATAAGGCTGTGGATCGCTGGAGTTCATTCACGGTCCCCTTGGGGCCCACCCCTGCTATATCTTCAGCTTATACTAAGCTGTATATATGTTTGACACAATTGTGGTCAGGCTATAGATTCACTAAATTTTAAAGACAGGGTAGACATTAGAAATCAAGTCCAATCCTGATTTCCCAAATGGAAAATTGAGTCCCAGAAAGGTGAAATAACTTGCCCAAAGTGACACAGAAACTTAGTGTAAATAGAGCTCCAACCAGAAATAACATTTAATTTAAGACCAACTTAGGAGCCCTACAGAGTTCATCATAAATTAGGAATGTTAGAAAATTGTTTTTAATTGTGTAGCAATAAGCAAGGGTTTTACTGGTGAAATGCTCAGACTTTATCTTTTTGGAAGTTAACATCTTCCAAATGGACCTTTCCATTCAACATTGGAAAATATCTCCTGTCTCTCAAAAGTAGCCTTCAGAGGCATATTCTTGACCTATTTGATGATATCTACACTTCACAGGTATGAATGAAAGAGCTGGGTGCCAAATTGTAGTCAGAGATATATAAACAACTAGTTTTTCTCTGGTGTTGACACCTCTTCCCTTCCTTTTCAAGATGGATGACATCAAAAAACAATTTTCCCAAACAAGTGAGTTCATTAATTCCCTACTCTGTTCCCACCTACCACCCCCAGCACTGTGCTTTTGGGCTGACTAGATTTGAGTATACCTCAGAGCCTTTGTGGAGGAAGGACTTGCTGGGGTGTGACTGAGGTTTATTTAGCTTTCTATCCTTTAAAGTTCCATCAGCAGGTCCCGTGACCAAGGCAGAAAACATTGATGTGAAGACAGTCACAATAACATGGAAGGAGATTCCTAAGAGTCAGAGAAATGGCTTCATCAGCAACTACACCATATTTTACCAAGCTGAAGGTGGTGAAGAATTTTGTAAGTGCACCCATAGCTTAGTTGAAAAAAAAAAAAAAAAACAAAAAACCCTACATAGATGCTATCGATAGACTTGCCAAAGGGTGGCTCCTATGGTTTGGAGGGAACATGTTCCTTCCGTTCAGAGGTGAGTTTCCAGATCATGGAATTTTCAGGAAGGAAAATTCATAAAGGCTGCACTAGTTTTATTCTCTTTGGCTAGAAATCCTGGTTCCTGTGGAGTAAAATTTGTACCCTCTGCAAGGCTAGATCCTAGCTTTATGATGAAGATGATTGGAACTGAGTTATTATATAGGATTGTTAATGTCCATTTATAATTTTATCCTTCCTTTGTTAATGTATCTGAAGAATGTATGATCTAATGGGCCACATCTACCACGGCCGCCACCAGACCGAGTCCAGTACAACTAGATGGTGACTGTCTACCACTGCTGACTGCTCTGACAGGGATCACAATAGAGGGTAAAGGACAGAACTGGAGAAGAACGTAGAACAAAATTCTAACTAAAAAAAAAAGACCAGACTTACAGGCCTGACAGAGGCTAGAGAAACCCTGAGAGTTTGGCCCCCAGACACCCTTTTAGCTCAGTAATGAAGTCACTCTCGAGGTTCACTCTTCAGCCAAAGATTAGACAGACCCATAAAACAAAACTAGACTGAAGGGGCACAACAGCCCAGGGACAAGGACTAGAAGGCAAGAGGGGATAGGAAAACTGGTAATAGGGAACCCAAGGTCGGGAAGGGAGAGTGTTGACATGTCGTGGGGTTGTTAACCAATGTCATAAAATAATGTGTACTAACTGTTTAATGAGAAACTAGTTTGTTCTGTAAACCTTCATCTAAAGTACAATTAAAAAAAAATTATTGAGACCTCAAAAAAAAAAAAAAAAAAGAATGTATGCTGCTATAAAATAGAGCAGATAATACTCTTAAAAGTTATTCTTATACTGAATTGATAAAATGTGAAATAATCTCTTGATCCAGGTCAATATTAGACTACCCTGGCACTGCCAGGTACATTTATCACGACCTTTGGGGTTTAAAGTCCCTGAGTGGCATAAATGGTTCGTGCTCAACTGCTAATCTAAAGGTTGACAGTTCGAACCCACCCAAAGGCTCTGTGGAAGAAAGGCCTGGTGATCTGCTTCTGTAAAGATTACAGCCAAGAAAAACCATTTGGAGCAGTTCTACTCTATAACAAAGGGGGTCACCATGAATTGGAATTGACTCAACAGCAACAGGTTAATGAGTTTTTGGGTATAAGAAACTTCAGACCAGGCAGCTGGTCCCTGGGGAAGAGGTTGACCTATTTTGCTTTTGATGATACATTTTTTTATTTTGATTCCTAGGCCAGTTAAGCTACTCTAGTAACATACTAAACTTGAAATCTCAGTGGCTTAACACAGCAAAGTTTTGTTCTTGCCAGCATTACAGTCCGATGTGTTTGGGTGGTCCATCTGCTTGTAGCTCCTCCATCTGAAGCACGAAGCATCTGCATTGCCATGTCGGCAAGACGAAGGATATACCTTGGCTCATAACTGCTGCGGCCTGGAAGGGACACGCAGCACTTCCGCACACAGTCGATTGGCCAGAATTGCTCACATAGTCCCAATATAATGCAGTAAAACCAAAATCCACCAACGTCAAGTTGATTCCGACTCATAGCGACCCTATAGGACAGAGGAGAACTGCCCCATAGGGTTTCCAGGGAGTGGCCAGTGGATTTGAACTGCTGACCTTTTGGTTAGCAGCTGAGCTCTTAACCACTGCACCATCAAGGCTCCTATATAAGGCAGTAGAGGGTGGGAAATGTAGAGAAGCATGTGGATAGTTGGTGAGCCCTTACAGCCTGGAGCTCTTAGAAAGAGTGATCAAGATAACCTGGTTGACAACTAAAGTGGTTGAATAACAAAAAATCATAGACGTTAGAGCTGGGAGAGATTTTGAGGAATCTCCTTTTGGTTGCCTCTTTGTATGTGTAGTTTCCTCTTTTCTCTTCTTAGGATATACTGCACATCCTTCCCTCCCCTTTACACTCACCTGGGTACTGATTACTTACTTATTCTTTTCTTTTCCAACATTTTATCATGAAAAAATTCAAACCTACAGCAAAGTTGAAAGAATTTTCTGTGAGTACTCGTATACTCACCACCTGGGTTCTACAACCAACATTTTATTATACTTACTATATCACGTATCTATCCATCCCTCTGTCCATCCATTAATCTATTTAATCTGTTTTGATGCATTTCAAAGAAAATTGCAAACATCAGTATACTTCCTCCAAAATAATTTTACTTGTATAGTATTAACTAGGGTTCAGTATTTTTATAGTTCTTTTTTATTCTTTTGAAGTAAAAATTACATATAATGAAATGCACAAATGGTAAATGTGAATTTGCTGAGTTTGGACAAACTTACACACTTTTGACATCCTAACTTCTGGGCCAGGCTTGGATTCCTGTTTAGGCTAATTTTTTTTTTGTTATTACTGTGGTAAAATACACATAACATAAAATTTACCGTTTTTGCTGTTAGAAAGTGTACAATTCAGTGACACTAAGTACCTTCACAATGTTGTACAACAATCACCACTCTCCAGTTTCGGAATTTCATCACCCCAAATGGAAACCCCGTACCCAGTCACTCTGCATTTCCTCCCAGCCTTTGGAAGCCACTAATCTGCCTTCTCCATGGATTTGCCTATTCTGGATATTTCATATAAATGAAATCATGCAATATGTGACCTTTTGTGTCTGACTTCTTTCACTTATCATAATGTTTTCAGGGTTCATCTATGTTGTAGCTTATATCATTACTTCATTCCTTTTTATGACTGAATAATATTCCATTGTATGGATATACCACAATCTGTTTATACGTTAGTCAGTTGATGGACATTTGGGTTGTTTCTACATTTTGGCTATTGTGAATATTGCTGCTATGAATATTTGTGTACAAGTTTTTGTTTTAACATCTTTTTTTCAATTCTTTTGGGAAATACCTAGGAGTGAAATTGCTGAGTCATATGGTAATTTTATGTTTCACTTTTTGAGAAGCCACCAGAATGTTTCCCACAAGCAGTTGTACCATTTTATGTTTTCCTCAGCCATGTATGAGTGTTCCAAATTTTCCACATCCTCACCAACACTTATCCCCCCCTCCATTTAAAAAAAATTATTATGGCCATCCTAGTGGATGTGGAGTGGTATCTCATTGTGGTTTTGATTTGCATTTCCCTAAGGAGCCCTGGTGGCACAATGGTTAAGTGCTTGGCAGCTAACCAAAAGGTTGACAGTTCGAACCCACCCAGTGGCTCCACAGGAGAAAGACCCAATGATCTGCTTTCATAAGGATTATAGCCTTGAAAGCCCTGTGGGACAGTTCTACTCTGTCCCGTGGGGTTGTCATGAATCAGCACCCAACAGCAACAGCAACAATGACTAATAAGGAGTCCCTGGGTGTTGCAAACAGTTAACATACTTGGCTGCTAACCAAAAGGTTGGAAGTTTGAGTCCACCCACAGGTGCCTCTGAAGAAAGCCCTGGCAATCTGCTTCATAAAAAAATCAGTCATTGAAAACCCTATGGAGCACAGTTCTACTCAGATGTACGTGGGGTCATCATGATTTGGAATTGATTCAATGGTGACTGGTTTGGTTTTTTTGTTGTTGTTAATGACTGATGATGCTGATCATCTTTTCATGTGCTTATTGGCCATTTGTATGTCTTCTTTGGAGAAATTTCTATTGAAATCCCTTGCCTATTTTTTAATTAGTTTTTTTTTTTTTGTTGAATTGTAAGAGTTCTTAACATATTCTGGATGCTAGACCCTTATCAGATAAATGATATGCAAATATTTTCTCCCATTCTGTGGGTTTTCTTTTCATTCTCTTGATGGTGACTTTTGACGCACAGAAGTTTTTAATTTTGATGAAATTCAATTTATCTATTTTTTCTTTTGTTGCTTGTGCTTTTGGTGTCATATCTGAGAAACCATAGCCAAATTCCAGGTCAAGAAGATTTACACCGATTTTATTTTCTAAGACTTTTATAGTTCTTGCACTTATATTTAGGTCTTTGATTCATCTTGATAGGCTTATTTTAAACAGAACATGGATGGAGGGGTTTCATATGAGATGTCCAGGCTTGGAAGTCTAGGTTCTAATGATCTTATTTTGGTGCTACTAAAACACAGTTTTCAGTCAGTCTTAGCTGTGGTATTTGACTTATATATTTTTACTTTAGCCAAGACAGTCAACTCCAGCATCCTGCGGTATGACTTGGAGCCCCTGACACGAAACACCCCTTACACTGTTCAGATCATGGCCAGCACCAGTGCTGGGGGAGCCAACGGGACCAGGATCAACTTCAAAACATTGTCAATTAGTAAGTACTTCTTCCAAGCTCTGGGTACTCCTGCTTGACATTTCCCTTAGGTCAGTTTGGGATGACCTTTGTCAAAGGCAGGAGGAAGCCAAGTAAAGGACAGTGCTTCAGTGAGAAAAACCATCCTGCTTCCTGGCTCACTGATCTTGGAAGGGCTATGGGTAAGGGAGGAGAAGAGAGAGCAGGCAAACTGAGAGCTGAATTTGGAAAGGTTGGTCATTTTGCTGCTTCTTCATGGACAGCCTCAAATCAGGTAGAGGAAGAGGGATCAAGTTAATGCCAGCTTCAGCCTTAGCACTAACTCAGCTCTCACCTCAAGGCTGTCTTCAAGGTCTCAGTCACCAGTTTCTGTGTGTTGGAGGCTATTGCACAATAGGGTCTTGGAGAGAAAACCTTGATCGAACAAGGACAACCAACCCAAAGGAAGAGACTTAATCTCATCATTAGTGTAGTCTTTTGGTCAAAGGGATACATAATATGTTCTACTCACCAGCTTTTATGTTAAAAAATACAGAAAGAAAAATGTAATATATTAAAAAATAATGTAAAATATAATGTAGCATTATATGATGACTTCCTCAAGAGAAGAAGACAGAATGAAGAGGAGATGAAGAAGAAATAAGTTAATTTTGCCAAATTCTGGAGTAACACAGATTTGATTTTAAGAATATACTAAAACTGTTTCTAAAAATGAACCACCTTTTAGATTAAAAGTGGAGGAACATACCACATTTGCAATAAAATAAAAGCTAAAAATTGTCTACTCAAAGTATTCTTGAAAGCTTCTTGTTTATCACATTTTTTTATCAGTCATGTACATAAATCACAAGGTAGTCACAAGATGTTGGTTAGGTAAAGTTTTTTATCTATGTTTATCATATATTTCCTTGGAAACAGTCTGCTGAGTATAACAAAGAGACGAACTTCTTCACAATGTACATAGGCAAAATGCCTGAACAGGAGTTATGTATCTAGAGGAGAAGAAGAACAACAAAGTATTTCTGAATTGAACTAGCTGTTGGCCATTTTGGTCATGTCAGTGCAGGACCTCTGGTTAGATTTAAAATGCTCTTGTTTAGGTTAGCAGCTGAGTGCTTAACCGTTGCACCACCCGGGCTGCTTTACCCAAAATGCCTTATCTTCCACAAATAATGTGCCCACACATATAATGCACATAGTGCACCTAGGAAAATAATGCATGAGGGGATTGTGTGGTTGGCAAAAAAAAGTATAATGCATGTGTTATTTGTTTAAAAATATGGTAGTGTTTGGCAAATAGTGTCAGTAAATATTTACTAAATGAATGAAGGAAGATGGACCTAGTGATCATAGTGCCTATCAATATTGTGCAGAGAGAAAAACACTAGCCTGGGGAGCCACAAACCCCAGGGTTTTTAAAATTTTTTTAAATTGAAAGGTATTGAATTGAATTGAAAGAAAACTAATAAGGAATGCTGTCTTAGTTACCTAGTGTTGCTGTAACACAAATACGTTAAAGGACAGAATTTGTTTCCTCACAGGAAGCTGGTCTGAATTCAGGGCCTTGGCTCTAGGGAGAGAGTATCGGCTCTATAAGAAGATCCTCTTTCAGCCCCAGTATACCTTGGTTCCTTGGCGATACGTGGCATCTGTCTTCCTCTATTTGTGCTTGCCTGTCTCTGTGTCTGTGCTGCTCCTTATATCAAAAGTGATTAGGGTTAGGCCATAACCTACACTGAGATGGTCTCATCAACATAACAAAGAAAACCCTATTCCCAAATGGGATTATATCCACAGGTATTACTCATTGCCATCCAGTTGATTCTGACTATAGCAACCCTATAGGACAGAGTAGAACTGCATCATAGGGTTTCCAAGGCTGTAATCTTTATGAAAGCAGACTGCCACATCTTTCTCCCACAGAGTGGCCGGTGGGCTCGAACCACCAACCTTTTCATTAGCAGCCGAGCTCTTAACTGCTGCTTCTTATCCACAGGTATTAAAAACAACCCAAACCAACCCATTGCCATTGAGTCAGTTCTGACTCATAGCGACCCTACAGGACAGAGTAGAACTGTCCCATAGGGTTTCCAAGGCTATAATCTTTATGGAAGCAGACTTCCACATCTTTCTCCCACAGAGTGGCTCATGGGTTTGAACTTCCAACTTTTCGGTTAGCAGCTGAGCTCTTAACCACTGCGCCACCAGGGCTCCTTCCACAGGTGTGGCAGTTAGTGAATGCCAACACATGGGGACACAATTCAATCTGTAACAAATGTGTTGCTGAAGCTATTAGAAGACAAAGTTAATCTTTGCTTTTGTCAAGAAAATGCGGAGCAAAATCTGCTACTGACTTTTGTTCTCCTTTTTCCAAAGGTGTCACTGAAATTGTCCTTATAACTTCTCTGGTTGGAGGAGGCCTTCTTATTCTCATCATCCTCATGGTGCCATATGGTCTGAAAAAACCCAAGTGAGTTTATAGACAACAGTGCTGTCTTCCAAATCAGAGGTGGGAAGGAGTAGAAGTCTCCATGGGTGGGAGAGGGCACTCTATGATTAAGGTGGTGTTCATTCATCTGTTAATTTAGTAAGTATTTATAGAGATTATTATATGCCACACCCGTGGCTCATCAGAATTCTGACCAAACAAGAGAACCTCATCTACCACAGCCCTATATACCAGGCCTAGGGTGTTTTGAGGCCAGGGCAGTGCCAGTTGCCACACAGGGTTTATCTGGTGTGTTTGCCTTCTGAGATGAGGGTTGGAGAGGAGGCCCTTTCGGTGTCTAGATGGGGTCCTGATAGCAGTAGGAGGCCTGAAGGCGACTGGCCTCTCAGGCAGAGCAGGGATCTGTGGTCCCATGGAGTAATGGCCAGTTGTATGCGGAGCACAAACTTGTTGCTAGCTTGTAGTGCAGTTTTGGAGGGCTGTCTGCAGGGGCATTTGTTCTGCCTGCGCTGGCCACTGTGGGGAAGGAAGCTTGTTTTCAAGGTCCTGTGCTTTCTTCCCCTCTGCAAGCCTCATGCTGCATGTCCTCATGGTCAAGGGCCCCTCCTCGGTAGAGCTTTCTCTCCAGAATTGGACAGTTGTGGGCTTCTCTGCCAAGCAACTGCTCTTACTGGTCAAATTAATGTCAGCCTCCTCAGCCCTACCTCGGTTCCCACCTGTAGTTTATAACCAAGTCACCAGCACAAATTCTTGCATATCATTCACTTAAGCAGTCCTTCTCAATCTTTAGCATGTGTCAGAATCAGGCCCCACCCAAGGGTTGCTGATTCAGTGACTCTGGGGTGGAAGACAAGAATTTGCATTTCTAACAAGGTCCCAGGTGACGTTGATGCTACTGATTGGGGCCACACTTTGAGAACCACGGTACTAAAGTGTGGGTGGCTTATAAGGCTTAGTGTGTTGCTCTTCCCAGGGAATAAATTGCAAAGGTGTGACTGTGATGGTGTGATTTCAGTTATCAGCACCAGGTGTGGAGATGAAGGGGTGGGAGAAAGGATAAGGGTAGGAATAGCTTTGCGTAAGGAGAGGTGTCCTCCCTTCCCAGACTTCCAGCTTCACCACCCAAACTGTACTTCACTCTCCTAGCAGGGTGAGGTCTTGCCCTTATTTAATGAGGAGACCATACAGTTCCCTTTAGCAAAGCCCCCTTCTTGGGCTGAGCCATACTGGGTGTGTAAAACGCTCTTGGACTCATTTTCTGTTTTCAAATCTTATCTCTTATTAGCAAATTGAAACACCTTTGTTGGCCCGATGTCCCCAACCCTGCTGAAAGCAGTCTAGCTATGTGGTGTGGAGATGATTTCAAGGTAAGCTGTTCTTGTTTTAAGGAAATCATTTGGGCAAGCTGGTTGCAGGAGATGGACAAGTTTGATGGAAGTGGGAGAAGTCCTGGACTGAGCTTTTTCACAGAGTACACAAAAAGAGAACTCAAGGTTGAAAAATCCCAGGGAATGATTGGCAGGGCAGATGGAATCGGCCTTCCAGGAACTACTTTAACCCCCTGCTTTGGACAAGAGGAAAGGGCACCCCCAGGCTCACGAGGACTCACTGTATGCCCAGCATAGAACTGGTACTGTCAGGGATGAAACAGAGCAAAGATACACAACCTCAGGACCTGATGGTTTAACTAGAGAGAAAGAGAAAGCCCCACCACAGGATTAAAAAAAAAAAGAAAAATAACCAAAAAACCACCAAACCAGTTGCCATTCAGTCAATTCCAGCTCATGTGCCTCAGAATAGAACTATGCTACATAGGGTTTTCAACTGCTGTGTTCTTTTGGAAGTAGATCACCAGGGCTTTCTTCCAAGGTGCCCTTGGGTGGTTTCAAATTGTCAACCTTTTGATTAATATAGGATTTGAGGCCATTTAAAAAGCTACCAAGAAATAATGATTCAACACAGAAAATTAAGTGGAACAAAGAAACTGTGAACAACACACAAAAAAAGACATCAAAATGACAGCACTAAACTCATACCTATCAATAATTATGCTGAATGTAAATGGACTAAATGTGCCAATAAAGAGACAGAGGGTGGCAGATTGGATAAAAAAACACTATCCGTCTATCTGCTGCCTACAAGAGACACATCTTAGACTTAAAGACACAAACTAAAACTCAAAGGATAGAAAAATATATATCAAGCAAACAACGTTCAAAAAGGAGCAGGAGTGGCAATATTAATCTTTGACAAAATAGACTTTAAAGTAAAATCCACTACGAAGGATAAGAAAGGACACTATATAATGATTAAAGGGTCAATACACCAGGAGGACATAACTATAATAAATATTTACGCACCTAACGACAGGGCTACAAAATACATAAAACAAACTCTAACAACACTGACGAGAGATAGACAGCTCCACAATAGTAGTAGGAAACTTGAACACACCACTTTCGGTGAAGGACAGAAAATCCAGAAACAAGCTCAACAAAGACACGGAAGAGCTAAATGCTACAATCAACCAACTTGATCTCATAGACATACACCTAACACTGCACCCAACAGCAGCCGAGTATACTTTCTTTTCCAATGCACACGAACATTCTCCAGAATAGACCACATATTAGGCCATAAAGCAAGACTTAACAAAATCCAAAGCATCGAAATATTACAAAGCATCTTTTCTGATCATAAAGCCATAAAAGTAGAAATCAGGAAGAGAAAAAGCAAGGAAAAAAAATCAAATACATGGAAACTGAACAACAACTTGCTGAAAAACTACTGGGTTATAGAAGAAATTAAGGATGGAATACAGAAATTCATGGAATCAAATGAGGATGAAAACACATCCTACCAGAACCTTTGGGACAAAGCAAAAGCAGTGCTCAGAGGTCAGTTTATAGAATAAATGCACACATCCAAAAAGAAGAAAGGGCCATAATCAAAACATTAACCCTACAACTGGAACAGATAGAAAGAAAACAGCAAAAGAAGCCCTCAGGCGCCAGAAGAAAGGAAATAATAAGAATTAAAGCAGAATTAAATGAAATAAAGAATAGAAAAAAAACTGAAAGAGTTAACAAGACCAAAAGCTGGCAACAAGATTGATAAACCACTGGCCAAACTGACAAAAGAAAAACAGGAGAGGAAGCAGATAACCTGTATAAGAAATGAGATGGGTGATATCACAACAGACCCAACTGAAATTAAAATAATCATAACAGAATACTATGAAAAATTGTACTCTAACAAATTTGAAAACCTAGAGGAAATGGACAAATTTCCAGAAACTTGCTACCTACCTAAACTAACACAAACAGAGGTAGACTAAATAAACCCATAACAAAAGAAGAGATTGAAAAGGTAATTCAAAAACTCCCAACAAAAAAAAGCCCTGTCCTGGATGGCTTCACTGGAGAATTCTACCAAGCTTTCAGAGAAGAATTAACACTACTGCTACTAAAGGTATTTTAGAGCATAGAAGAGGATGGAATACTCCCAAACTCATTCTATGAAGCCAGCATAACCCTGATACCAAAATCAGGTAAAGACACCTTGAAAAACAAAAATTACAGACCAATATCCCTCATGAACATTGATGCAAAAAACCTCAACAAAATTCTAGCCAATAGAATTCAGCAACATATGAAAAAAATAATTCACCATGATCAAGTGGGATTTATACCAGGTATGCAGGGATGTTTCAACATTAGAAAAACAATCAGTGTAATCTATCACATAAATAAAACAGAAGACAAGAACCACATGATTTTATCAATTAATGCAGAAAAGGCATTTGACAAAGTCCAACACCCATTCATGATAAAAACTCAACAAAATAGGAGTAGAAGGGAAATTCCTCAGTATAATTAAGTGCATTTATACAAAGCCAACAGCCAACATCATCCTAAACGGTGACACTTTGAAAGCATTCCCCTTGAGAACGGGAACCAGACAAGGATGCCCTTTATCACCACTCTTATTCAACATTGTTCTGGAGGTCCTAGCCAGAGCAGTCAGGCTAGAAAAAGAAATAAAGGGCATCTAGATTGGTAGGGAAGAAGTCCAAGTATCTCTATTTGCAGATAATATGATCTTATACACAGAAAACCCCAAGGAATCCACAAGAAAACTACTGGAACCAATAGAAGATTTCAGCAAAGTTTCAGGATACAAGATAAACATACAAAAATCAATTGGATTCCTTTACACTAACAAAGAGAACCTCGAAGAGGAAATCATCAAATCAATACCATTTACAGTAGCCCCCAAGAAGATAAAATACTTAGGAATAAATCTAACCAGAGAAGTAAAAGACCTATAAAATGAAAACTACAGGACACTACTGCAAGAAACCAGAAAAGACCTGTATAAGTGGAAAAACATACTTTGCTCATAGATAGAAGACTCAGCATGGTGAAAATGTCAATTCTACCCAAAGCAATCTACAGATACAATGCAATCCCCATCCAAATTCCACTGGCATTTTTTAATGAGATGGAGAAAAAAATCACCAACTTCATAAGGAAAGGGAAGAGGCCCCAAATAAGTAAAGCATTACTCAAGAAGAAGAATGTGGGAGGCCTCACACTACCAGATTTTAGAACCTATTATACAGCCACGGTAGACAAAACAGCCTGGTACTGGTCCAACAACAGATACATAGACCAATGGAACAGAACTGAGAATCCAGACATAAATTTATCCACCTATGAGCAGCTGATATTTGACAAATGTCCAAAGCCTGTTAATTGGGGAAAAGACAGTCTCTTTAACAAATGGTGCTGGCGTAACTGGATATCTATCTGCAAAAAAACTGAAACAGGACCCATACCTCACACCATGCACAAAAACTAACTCAAAATGGATCAGAGACTTAAATATAAAATCAAAAACAGTAAAGATCATGGAAGAAAAAATAGGGACAATGCTAGGAGCCCTAATACATGGCATAAACACAACATGAAGCATGAGTAACAATGCACAAGCACCAGAAGAGAGACTAGATAACTGGGAGCTCCTAAAAATCCAACACTTATGCTCATCAAAAGACTTCATCAAAAGAGTCAAAAGACAACCTACAGACTGGGAAAAAAATTTTTGGCTATGACAAATCCTATCAGCGTCTAATTTCTAAACTCTATAAGATACTGCAAAACCTCAACAACAGAAAGACAAATAACCCAATTAAAAAATGGGCAAAGGATATAAACAGGCAATTCGCCAAAGAAGATATTCAGGCAGCTAACAGACACGTGAAGAAATGCTCATGATCATTAGCCATTAGAGAAATGTAGATCAAAACTACAATGAGATATCATCTCACCCCA